AGTACCTACCATTAGAGGTTCCCGACTAACGTGTCCCGATTGACTTTACAAGCGCCTGCTCAAGATACACCAACTAAATGTGGATGACGGAGTATATCGAAGTGGTTGTTTGCTACAGCCTCTCTGATTTGAATTTTGTCCAAGCCGATGGCCCAGATGGCAAAACATACGGCGCTCCTCCTCGTCTCCGTCTTCTTCGAGTATGAATCTGTTGCTGGACAGCACTCCCCCGTCATGTTGCTGCCTTCTACCGATTAAGTATCATAGGGTGCTTCGACATGAGATAATTCCAGATCCTCTGCTCGCATCGTGACCAAAATCAAGAAACACCCCAAGCTTTGGGCCTGAAGGTTTATGCATGAGATCCATTGGAGGATCTAGTGCCAATACGTGTGCCCTGCAGGTGTTTTATCCCATGAGCGAGAATCAAAAGACAATGAAGCCACGAGAAGGAGCTATGGTTAACATGCGCCATAAACACATGCTATGATCGGACGTAAGCGAGGGCTAGTACACAGGTCTAGCCATTGTATCCTTTTATCGATCGATATTCGCAGTGAAATAAAGTCTAAAAGGCACAAGTAGTGAGTGGCTTGGTCTGTGGTCAAGTTTATCTTCTTCATCAACGGAAAAGCTGAGCCTATTGAAAGATATGTCAAATCCCGTGCTTAATCGCTAGCGGCACCATGTAGACATATACCACTGTTTTGGAGTATTCATCGCGTACCATACTTGATGGCTTTGTGACTTTGCTCTAGATACTTCAGTTGCATGTCCCTGGGTACTGGATCATCGTTGCATGGACCCTTAGAACTTTATGTAAGCCACATCGAGACTTGGCAACGCTGGTATGCGGTTATCTTTGAAACTTTGACCGGAGACATGAGGAATGAAACTACCTGGCTAGGCTATGATCTGAGACCAGTGCTAGGGCGGTTGGTACCGTAAGGCTTAGATGATTGAAAATGGAGTTAAATATGCGACTTCTGTACGAGCGGATCGAGAGCCCAAGTTCAAAGCAGATAATGATGGCGTCTTTCCATATCTTAACAAATGATTGATTTAGTACCTGGGAAGATGGCATATCTCACTGAATCCTGTCAATACGGTCCTAAGATACTTGGAGCGAATCAAGGATCTTGTCCGAAAATGGCTGAGAGAGGTGTTTCTAATGTTGAAGTATATGGATAAGAAGAACAGGGAGTAAGTATACTTCATCTTACGCCAATATTCTCTTGTCGAGTAGATCTTGACTCGATTATGAACGAATTCATGAGCTTGTGTATGAGAAAGGGAACATCATTGCACGAGTTATCAGGTGTTCTCCTCTCAATGAGATGTATGAGGCTGTACCTTGGGCTTTAATCATAATAAGCATCTATGGTGCGATGCTACTAGAATGGCATATCGGATAATGCCCGAAACACGTTTTGGCTGCATGTTTATTAATAAACCTGTAACAATAAGGGTCTTTCTGATGACTTGAAACAAATATTGTGGTCGAATCAGATTTCATCTGATAACGAAACACATTGGCCAGAGCACCATCAACCATAAAATCAGCAGGGGTCAGCCGAAACCACTTCACGCTAGTGGTAGCTTGAAAAGTGGCCTTTGTTGAATGTTCAAGTCAAAGGCCAAAACGGCCACGTATCCTCAGATGCAAAAAGAGGGGCCCTGCGATTAGACCTGGAGAGTGTCGTGCATAAGACCGACAGACCCTGTAAGAACAAGAACCAACCATGCAGTTTTTCGTATCTGTCAAACCGAGTACGAATTAGAGAGGAAGAGAAAAGAGTCCAGAGCGAGGCTGATCTCAGGGGCCCTCATATTATTTTGCTGGCATTGGACATTTGCAATCCAAGCTTGGTGGGGGCTGGATCGACAGTGGTTGAGAGACCGACTGGCTGCATTGGAACTGTACCTGCGTATTGTGGCTGGTTCATGTATAATTCAATCCGTTGTAAAGGGACGATGCTTAATTGAGTTTTGGATTCGTTGTGAACATGTACCAGATAGTAGAGCTATCTCACAACAAATCCAATGGTAGATGTGTCCCGTCTTGCTCCGAGACATGTCGAACTTTACCGCTCCAGCTGTTGAGCCCCTATCAACGTCGAAAAGAACACCTTAAAACTACCGGGGTGACGCTAATCTTGGTGAATCTAGGGGGGTTGTGCTCAGGGCTTCCATCCAATCAGACATTTTCAAGATGGTTTGGACCCCGTTTTTTACACCGCCCCTCCCCTCGAACCTGGGCCAGAGCTCCCTCCCTTTCTGGGCCCTCCAGTTGCCCCACGAAATGCTCGTCCTTCTTAAAAAATAAACCCGCCAACATCAACTTCCTTCCCTCTTCCCTTCATCATCTCATAGCTTTTGGTAGCCATTGGGATCTGTCGTCATCATGGCAGAAAAATCAGGCGTCACCGGCGTCGACTTCGAGTTCGTTAAGACTCCCGCCTATCCCAAGCCTGACTTTGACAAGCTTGAGGAAGTTGGTGTTCCTACTACCAGGGTAAGTCACGATATCATGCATGATTGCTGTCCTTTTGGAAAAGTCAATTCTAACAGACATCTTCACAGTACCCTGCCATCAAGAACGCTCCTCTTCCCGCCGATGGCTCTGGTGCCGACACCTTCAACAACTATGTCCTCATCTCCATCTTGACCATCGTTCCCTGGTGGCTCAGCTGGAAGCTTGGTGGTGGCTTCAAGACTACCCTCTTCTTCGCTATCATTATCGATCTTCCTATGCTCGCTGCCTGGTGGTTGGTCATCTCTTCCATCAGCCCTCGCAAGAATGAGAAGGTTCGCCTTCCCAACCGTGGTGTCGAGCACTACCTCGAGTTCAAGAAGGACGCCGACCGTCTTAAGTACCGTGGCACCAACAAGATCCCCATGGAGACTTTCTACGAAATGTACTTTGATGGCGACGTTGAGTTCAAGGGTGACTGCCTTGAGGTTATGGAGCAGCGTCATGACTGGGTCAGCTTCCGCTTCACCATTGGCCTCATCAAGTTCTTCCTGTTTGGCATGATGCCCGAGGTTATCATGCACACTCGTTCTCAGGGTATGTGTTTTATTTATTTTTACCACAAGTTGGAAATCGACTAACGTTTGCCAGACGAGGAGCAGGTCCGTGACCACTACGACCGTGGTGATGATTTCTACGGCTGGTTCCTTGGTCCCCGCATGATTTACACTTCTGGTATCATCTCCGACATCAACCGCGAGGAGTCTCTTGAGGAACTCCAGGACAACAAGCTCACCGTTGTCTGTGAGAAGATCGGTCTTACCAAGGGCGACACTATGCTCGACATCGGCTGTGGTTGGGGTACTCTTGCTCGCTTCGCCAGTGAGCAGTATGGTGCCAGGGTCACTGGTGTTACTCTCGGCCGCAACCAGACCGCCTGGGGCAACAGCAGCATGCGCAAGGCTGGAATTCCTGAGGAGCAGAGCAAGATTGTTTGCAAGGACTACCGTGATATCCCCGTTCCCGAGGGTGGTTACAAGAAGATCACCAGTCTCGAAATGTCTGAGCACGTTGGTATTCGTCACTTCTCTAGCTTCCTTAAGCAGGTTCACGACATGCTTGACGATGATGGTGTCTTCTTCCTCCAATACGCCGGTATCCGCAAGGCTTGGCAATACGAGGATCTCACTTGGGGTCTCTTCATGAACAAGTACATCTTCCCTGGCGCTGACGCTTCTACTCCTCTTGGCTGGGTTGTCGACAAGCTTGAGGGTACCGGTTTCGAGATCAAGCACATTGATACTATCGGTGTTCACTACTCTGCTACCCTCTGGAGATGGTACCGCAACTGGATGTCCAACAAGGACAAGGTCGAGGCCAAGTACGGCAAGCGATGGTTCCGTATCTGGGAGTTCTTCCTTGCCTACTCCACCATCATCTCCCGCCAGGGCAGTGCTACTTGCTTCCAGATCACTCTCGTCAAGAACATCAACTCTACCCACCGTATTGATGGTGTCGAGACCCAATTTGCCATTCACGGCGCTCTCGACAACTGCCGTGCTGACCTTCAGTCCTGGGCCTCCAGGAACAACGTCAAGACTCCCTCCGAGTTGCTGTAAAAATGTGGTCGAGAGTCTGGCACGAACTGGAAAATATCTGAGTCGGCTCAGAAAAAGTACAGTGTCAAAAGGATGCCTCAAGAAGAGGCCAATTTAGTGATCAATCTATCACACCATCGATAGTCAAGTTCATAATGAGAACTTGATCCATCTCCGGCATATTTAACCCGAAATGCGCCCCCTTCACCATTTTATCCATCTGGAAAAGGCTGGCCTAGACGCAACGGGCAAGTTTCATGTTTCATGATAGATGTGTAACGGTAGCCTTCTGGGCAAATAAACGGGCATAGAATATTGGAAATATGCTCAAAAAGGAAAGAGGATAAATTGAAAAGTTTGTTCGTTGCTTGATCGTGTCATGATGATTGATGTTATGAAATGTGAAATGTGAAATCGTTAGTGGGTCATGACAAGTTAGATGGTTTATCATGACAACTGCAGCCAGGACTCGTGACTTGTAAATGAATTCCAATGTCGACCAGCCACCATCAATCCAGCCCATTTCCTACCATTATTCCAATTGAACTACAACGATCTTTGTAAGACGAAATACTGAACCAACAGATGGAGTCCGATCTGATGGATTTACTAGGTACTGTACTTTGTGTGTCATGAGCTTCTGCGTCAGCTACGATTGGTAGGCCTGACTTAATTTCTCCACTTCAATAATTCGTCGTAACTTGAACCCGTGCAAGTCTCATAAAACACGGCCAAGCAGATTAAGAGCATATACAACATCTCTTTATCGCGACTTCAATTCCTTGAACTTCGCAATGAAACATATATCATTATTCAACCGCCAGTGCGGCTTCCGTCTACTGAGAGGATACAGCACGAAATCACCCTCATCCATCATCTCAGCTCTCAAAGCTCATCCTCCCAAGATAATACCAGACTACCTAACACCCATGCCGTCACATCTTCTTACTACTACCATTGATGACCTCCTCTACCCTTCTCCCACAACACCAACGATATCCTCCCCTCCCAAGGCTCTGCCTCAAGGACACCACCTTGTCTACTTCCCTATCCAACTGCCTCCCTCGCGGCTAATTCCTGATGGCGCGGATCCTGATCACTCGCCTGGATCACCGTATGTGCGGCGCGTGTGGGCGGGTGGTGAAGTTACATTTAGAGGTGAGGAGATGAAGCTTGACGCTAGACCGGTGGTCTGTAGAGAGAAAATCGAGGATGTTAGTTTGAGAGGCAGGGAGGGAGAGGAGAAGGTATTTGTTGATATATGGAGGAAGTACGGGACTGGTCATGAGGTTGAGGGGCGAGAAGAGTGGGATATTGAGGAAAGACGGACTTTGGTGTTTATGAGGGAAGAAAAAGAATCTGCTTCATCACATGCACGACTTCTTAAGTGTAAGCTTCGCTGTTGTATTGTCCAAAAGCATCGTTACTAATATTCTACTCAGATCCTCACCCACCAACTTACTCCATCTCACTCACCCCATCACCGATACACCTATTCCACTTCTCAGCGCTATCTTTCAATGCCCACTTCATCCACTTCGACCCTCAATTTGCGCGAGAAGTAGATGGCCACCGAGCACTTCTCGTCCATGGCCCTTTCACTCTTGCTCTAATGCTCCGCGTTCTCAGCGACCAAATCGGTTCGCATGCATATGTTCATAAGTTTAGCTACAGAAACTATGCGCCGCTCTATGTTAACGAAAGCTTGAGTATCAACGTTCGAAGAGTCTCGAAAGATGAAGGCGTCGACGGACGATGGGATGTTTGGATTGAGGGGCCAGAAGGAGGAATGGCTGTCAAAGGAACAGCGGATATCGTCAACAAATAAGATAATTCTAAGTTCGTTATATTATAGGCGGTTGTATGCTAGATAAAGACCAATGTGCTATGATGAAACTCGAGCCAAAAAAGGACCCGGACAAAACGCCTCAGTATGACAACGTTATATCTCCAATGCCAAAGAATCTCTCTTCCTTCTCCACATGAATATGAGCAATGGCGCCAATAAAATGAGGTAAGACAAAGATGTATACCTGACACACACGACAATCCCCCCAATCACCCAATCTAATCAGCCCATCCAAACACCTCACCAAGCGACATAGTGTTGCTTCGCATACCCGTCATTGTCACCAGAATGATGACCAGGTCAAGTACAAGAAGAACAGTGCTGGACAGCATGAAGCGAGGGCTGAAGACGCGGTAAAGCATCAGGTGGCGGCGAAGCCAACCAGCCCAGCTCATAGTGGCCAGGGCTTCAACTGCATAGTAAATGACAAAGACGCCAATGCTGCGGGTGGTTGTCTCCAAGACACCCTTCTGCTTGGGACCGACCTTCCACAGGGCCAAAAGAGGCACGGACGCAGCAGCGATAATCTGACCAGCGAAGCTGTTGAGAATAACCACGATAGGCGTCCAAGGGTAGCGGATGGTGAAGAGAGGAATGAAAGCGCTGTCCCACTGGATGCTGGACAGAACAGCCTGGTGGCCAGTCTTGAAGTAGTAAAAGTTTCCAAGAATGGCAAGCATGACAGGACCAATAGGGCTTGTCTTGAGCTCGTTGAGATCCAAGACTTCAGCCAGCGTGAGGATCTGCCAAAACATAAGAGCAAGGGCACCTCCTCCCATAGGCTTCGAGAGGAGGAAACAGGCCAAAAGGATATTAAGAGGCAGCAGTAGGTAGCGAGCACCGATAGCGTTACCATATCCAATAATAGTGACAACAGGTCGCCCGGCGGCTCCGGCAGATTGAAGAATGGACACGCAAGGAGGCGCCCAGACAAACACAGTGCTTCCAGCAACAAAAGCCAGAGCAAGGACGATTTGGGCCAGATAAACACCGATAGTCTTGGGGATTCCCTCGGCGAGCCGTCCTTCTAGCCAGCCACCGTTGTCAGCAGCGTCAATAACCCAGTACAGAGCAGAGAGGAAGAGGCCACCGCGAACAGCCCAACCGATCCATGTGGGAGCAAGACCCTCGTAAGATCTGCTTGTGACGAGGAAAGACTTGATGATAGCGGGGAGAACAAGACAGACAGCAAAAGGGATCAGTAGCTGCCATGCCGCAGAGGTTGATGAAGTCGAAGAAGCGTAGTAGGTGGAGGTGCAGTAGGGCATCTGCTCTTCGCGGCAAAGCTTCGAGTAGGAAGCGATGCGGCCAAGGACGATGAAGGCAACGGAGTGGTAGATACCTAGGTATCTTTCACGTCGAGATTCGATTCGGAAAGCAGAGACGGCACTAGCGATACCGAAAGTGGTAATAAAGAATAGCAGAATCGAATCTTCCCAAATAGTGTACGAGTTAGAAGCGAAGCCAATGGACTGGCTTACGGTGAAGATTACCGCCATCCATCCCCAGAAAGATGATGGGAAGATGTTAAGGATAGTCTTGCCCATATCATGGAGAGATGAGCTGAGACCAGCCATGAAAAGGACGGCGACGAGCGCAACAAGGCCCTCGATAGGGTGCTGGCGATACACACCAACGGCACCAAGAACAGTGACAGTGAACAATATTTTGGGGTCCCAGAGACCCTTGAGGATGCTCTTATGGAAGTTATCCTCGACCTCTGGCTCGTTTTCCTTGTAGGACAAGAGTTCCAACTTCTTCTCGGCATAATCGAGTTCGGCGTCATTCATAATGACGTATTCATCCTCTTCTTCACGAGAGGAGTACATCATGAGCAGGATCAGACCGAAGCCAAAGACGACGATGCCCATGATCATACGGGGAACGTCGAAGCGGGCCCAAAGATCCTTGCAGACGGATAAGGTAGTCTCCTGGAACTTGGAGAAGGCGGCATAAGCATCACGATCATTCTTGGCGATAGCAAGAGCAGCCTCCCAAAGAGCAGCGGGAGATCCAACTCCCTCGCCCTGGACAAGACCGCGAGCCTTGTGGTAAGCTGCCTGGTATTTCTCAATACCGGCTGCGGCAACGCGCGAGACAGCAGCGAGGTTGCGCCAGTCATTGCCCTTAACACCAGCAAATGCCTCCTCAATGGGTCCTCCCAAGTTGTTGAATGGGATTGGGATGCCCAGAAGCAGGGCAAGGGTAGGAACAAGATCGATCTGGTTCACGGGTCGGATCTTGGCATTGGCTGGGGGAGCGGCAAATTCGGGAGAAGTGCGACCGAAGAAGGGCTTCTTGGAGTACATCCAGAGAGCAGCCTCAACCTCGTCGTCGCTCTCGCCGCCGTGGTCTCCCTTACTGTCCATACCGTGATCTCCCATAACTACCAGAAGAGTCTTGTCATCGATGTTCTCGACCATCTTGCGAATAAAGTCGTTCATCTGGCGAAGCTTTGCGCCCATAGCAGGATGATCGGGACCATATCGATGGCCAGCATGATCAACACCAAGACAGTGTCCAATAAGAAGATCCCAATCGCCCTTTCGCTCCGGCTTCAACAATGGGAAGATGTTGTCAATTACACCATTGTCAACAGTGTGGAGATCCCAAACATTGAAGCTATCGTAAGCCTTGCTGATGTTGGGCTCAAAGTAACCCGGGAAGAGAGACCACCAGGTATCATCGCCAAGATGAGCAATCTTCTTGTTAGCGTCCTTTAACTGCATCAACAAGTTATCCTCATCGATAGCGGAACCACCGAAGCTGCTTCCAACATCGATAAAAGTCGGCAGCGTTCCCGTAGTAAGACCCTTGAGTCTCTGCATCGTGGCAGTGGGTGGATCAGCGATGAATGGGCGGAGGAAGGCATTCTGAGGGGACTTGACAGCCGACTCGTAGAGGTAGGGGAAAGCATTGTGGAAATGCTGAGCCTGCGCCGGATCCTCGGGAACGGTAAAGTCGTAGCGAAGCGCGTCAATTAGAACAACAACGGCTCGGTCAAACGATTTCGGATGCCAGCAACCGCGATCGACATTTAACAAGCCCTTGGTGTTCTCAATTGGAGGCAGAGTACAGTTCGACTTGTCCTCCAGTACAAGCCGTGTGAGCAGAAAGCCACCTGTAAAGAGCCAGATTCCGAGCGCGTGGATAGCGAGCACGACAACCCAGAAACCAGTAGCCCATCGCCAACGCTTCTCGTACGTCTTTTGTCTTCTCTGATCGAGCGCCTCGCGTCGTTGCTCTAAAACCTCGACGTTCTCATCGGCGGGAGGGAGTCCGAACTTCGCATTGGCGGTCTGCTGATCAGCGCGAGCGCGTTCCGCTTTAGCCCATTGCTCCGCGATCTTTTGATGCTCAGTTTGTGGAGTTTGTTGCTGAGCCTTGGGCTTGGCTTTTGGCTTGGGTGCCATGTTGATCGATGGGTATGGTTACTCGTCGAGTCAGATCGTGATCGCTAGCAGTAGGATTGAAGCCTATTGATGGGCCATTGGTTTACCCAGATGTCTGAAACTGATTATACAAAGGAAGGGAATTGGAAAGAAAGGAAGAAAAGATTAAATGTTGATAGTGAGTGGCCTCTGCTGAGGGACATGAATGTTTGTTAGAACAGCTGTCGACCCTGGTGGATTACGTAGTGGAGCTTCGCATGGAGTAAAGTGGAGTTGTTAGAATTGGACATTTTGAAGGGAGCTTTTATTAATATCTATCTAGGCCAATAAGCCAACAACCTTAGGTCACTCACTACTTTAAGGAGATTTCAATACAATCACATACCGTATATAAGCATTCAATATATGAGAGAAACGCAGTTCAGAATTCATTATCGTCAATCCTATGTGGATCCCTCCATACTCTAATACTAAGAAATTTCCATACCATATACTATTTACTGTGCCATTCTCAAATCAATCAATCAGTTCGTTCGTTCGTTCATCAACATCAGTATCATCCTCAACAAGTCTATCTGCAAACAAGCATTGAAATCGACGTGACACGACGTGGCGTTACTAAATTTGCAAAGTTCCCTCCAGAACGCCGTCCATGCTAGGATTCTATCCCACGATGCATCGCTTTTCCCCTTTATGAGTTGTCTACCTGCCAACATAGCATTGACGGGTGACCAACTCCTCAAACTCTCCCACCTTAATCGAACATGTCGGCGTTGGTGGTAGGCGCATCTGCAGTCTGTCCGCTGGCACGCCTCCTCTCAAGTCGTCGTCGATTTCGTCGGTTTTCCGCGGCAGCAGATCCCTCGGCGGCTGGTCCTCCAATGGCGGGTCCAGGAGGCTGGGTATTCACAGAGGGAGTGATGCCACTCCAGGTACCGTGACTCTCTGCTAAGCTGGATACGGTCTGATTAAACTGTGAGTTGCCTATTGATGGCGCCTGTTGTCCAGAATAATACGCCGAGTCTTTGCCTCGTCGCTTCTGCTTCGCAAAGGTGGGGTTAGGAGGGGCCAGGGAAGCTATATCGTCATTCTCTTCGGCCCTTGACTCGGCTCGCTTGTGACTGGAGTCTCGTCGATACCGGCGGCGGCCTTGTGTGGGAGATTCTAGTCCGGAAATGCTACTGGCGGAGTCTCTTCGGCCGCGGGCTGCCTTCGCTTCTTCCTCCGTAAGTCGTCGAAGGGTTACGTTCCTGTCCTTGTCGTCATGGACCTTCATCTTTACACTAACACTGGCGGGTGACGCATATCGGTCATAATGGGAGTCGTCGTCTCTTCCTTGGCGAGATCGCTGGGCTCGAGATCCGGGAGATAAACCTGAGGCAGTTGTTTCAGTATGGGCTATTGGTGCTAAGATGCCGCGAGGATCGGGGGGCATCGCGGGCATCGAGACATGCTCACTATTGCGTCTTGAGTGGTTTCCTGCGCGTCCGACTGGTATGACAGTTGAATCCTTTTCAGTAGGGTCAACATAGTTGCCTCGAGTAGGTCGGGGCTCTATGGTTGATTCGGACATCTCGGTAGACAAAACCGTTTCAGTGGGAGGGTAACCTGTTTGTCGACGTTGGATAGGACGACGATCATCTCGTCGGCCGGGAGAGTCGTAGGGGTCCGCTGTAAACCTGGAAAGTGAGGTGCCGGATCTGAGGTCCTCTTCATCACGCAGGCGCTGTTCTTCCTTGGCCGCTTTCCTATCTGCCATCTTCTTTGTGAACCATCCGAAACCAAGACCTCCCAACAATCCTTTAGCAAAGCCACCGCCAGACTTCTCAGGCTGCGGGCGTCGAGATGGACTGACATAAGATGAATAATCCGACTCTTCGAACACACTGCGGCGAGAGTTTGGCGGGTATCGCTTGCTTCGGGGGTTGACAGATGGCGGAGGTGAGCTCAGCGCAGTTTCGGTACCATCAGCAGCGCTTCTCATCTGTGACATTACAGGTGGTGGTCCGCGGGCATCTGTGTCTCTTCTACGGTCAGGCGTGGTGCTGGTGGTGATGTCAGTTCTAGTAACATCGCTCATGCTTGGAGCGCTGCGGGTTGCACGGTGGCGTCTCGGGGTTTCAGTCGACACAGCAGAATATTCTGAATAGTCTTCATCCTGCGGCCGGTTCTTCTTGGCAAAAAGCTTTCCTAGTCCTAGGATGCCCAAGACCTTTGCGAAACCGCCACCTCCGCCCTCTGCGTTGTCTTTTCTGGTAACGTCAGAGTACTTTTCACCAGTATATCCGGTAAGGTAACTGGCTGAGCCATTCCTGGAAGCAACGACTTCTGGTCTCTGGCTGCGATCGAGCGAAGGAGATCGACTGCGAACTCGACTCCCGTTGTCTAGATTTCGGTTCTTGTCTCGCCCTCGTACCAGGGCAGCCAATCCACCGAGAGCGGCAAGAGGGCCTAGCCACTTCATCTTGTTCTTGGGAGGCTCCGACTTGTATTCTGAGAATAACTCAGATTCAGTCAATCGAGTACGAGTATCCTCCGTTGGCGCCAACTCTGACCGCATCTCTGAACGGACTTCTGATCGAGCTCCATCCATATAGTAGTCTCGCTGGTTGATAGATCGCCAGCTCAAGATGAAATACAAAATAACCAGGATGAACATCCAAACAGCGTAGAGGATAAACAAATAGAGCGGCGATCCATACAATGTAAGGCCAAGGGGGATTTGAGCAATACCCAGGAGAGCAATTGAGCGACCCATCCATTGGTGAACCATGATACGCAAAGAACGAGCTTTGGTTATCCTGCGAACGATCCAACCACCGAATACCTGGAGCAGGAAGAGAGTAAAAATGGCCACACCAATTCCATGATGCGGATTAGTTAGGCTCCTTTGCGGACCGACTGCGAAGTACCCCAGAATGAAAACAGGCACCAGGAGCAAGACAGAGAAGACGTTCAACTGGGCGTGATACTTAATGGCCCAGCCAGGACGTCGCGAATAGAATCTCGCAGTCATGACAGAGAAAGGGATAAGGAAAAGGAAGACAATGACAGCCAGAAGACCGTGTGCCAATATAAGGCCTTGATATTGAGTAAGAGTCGAGAATCTGTTTCCCATGCCTGTGACTCCATGTTAGTCGGACCTTGGTGTAAATCAAGAACTGGGTTCCATACCATTGTAGCGGGTGGTCTCGAAGTTGGTACCCTGCAAATTGGGCAATAGGAAAGTGTTCTTCTCGAAATCCCATGTTCCATCTCCCACGACTTGAGAATTTGAGTCATAGCTCACTGCACCAGGTGCAGAGAATTGATCTGCTGCCGGCGCCATGATGGCGACGACAAGAAGTAAGGTTCTGTTTCAGACTGGGTCGGTATGTTTCGTGCGATCAAATAGACGGGAGTTTCGGATCTTGGTAGCGTCGTTGTATGTCTCGAGATCGGAATGCGGAAAGATGCGTGGCTATCGTGAATGTTTTCGCAAAGTCGAGAAGCGGATGATGGATGTGTGGATGTCTTAGGCGAAGAAGCCTGGCAGAAACATCTTGCTCGCACTATTTCGTAGTCGTTAAATCGTAAAGCTGAGCAAAAAAGGGAAAAGGGACAAAAATGGCTAGAGTCTCTGAAGTTCTTTGTGAAAAGAAGCTACAGAGTATGACTACTAGACTATGGGATAGAAGATGGAGACGCAATGGATGGAAGCCAAGCTTGAAGAACTGAACTGGAACTGGACTTGGACTTGGGAGACGGTTCCCGTCACCGTTGGTTGCTAGGCATGGTTGGTGGGGAAACCGCGGGTCCAGGGACTAGCCAGCGCATCCATCATACGCCGTAGCGTAGCGTACAGCGGTCCAGTGACTGGACTTGACTGGACTTGGACCTGCCAGGTTAGGCACTTTTGGAGGTAAATGTGGGTCTGTCTACGTATTGTATCTTCCGACTGGGTGGTGGTCGGCGGTGTAGACTCTTTTTCTTTTACCTTGGCCGTTACTTCAAGACTCAATACAAAGCTTTGTATTAGACATCAATTAATTTAGTCTTTTGTGAAACGGTCAACTAAACTCAGAACGACTTCCAAGCTACACAAGAATAATAGGTGACAATTCTAAATGTCACGCAAGATCCTGCATCTCACTCACACTAAAGAATGACTCGTCTGGTTTCCCTCTCACCGTATCTATGATCGAACCCACATGGCATTTCTGAAACCTGACATATACCTTTCCCTTCGGCTACGAATCGAGTTGACGTGTTAAGCTGATCATGGTTCGCATTTGCCGTATATCGCTCAGCTCAGCTCAGCTCAGGGGACTTGTCGACCCGTGCGTTGTCCCAACCTCTTCTCTTGTTCTCGGGCCCAGATCCCGTATGATCCGCTCTCGTCTGTACCTGGAAGATGTAACCCAGTTGTCATGATTTACGAACCATCATGTTGCGCAAAGACCATCCGACTAAGATAGTACAGAAGATTCTTGCTGTAGTTTCCCCAGAGATGGTCGGTTATGCCGATATGAGAGGCATAGTGTCGCTTCCTGCTTTGCACCAAGATCTATCATATGCAGGTACCTCGATCGCTTCCCGTTAGTGTCCAGGCTACTATATCTTTCTGGAAGTTCTATAGACGAACGCTGCGACAGCATGGAAGTACATTATGCAACCCGGGCGGGAGTGCCTAGAATTGCTTTTTGATTAATATTGTACTAAGTAGTTGATGTCTCGACGGTTTTGAGCGTTGAGTAAAATGATGTTGATGTCGATCATGGATGCATTAACAAACTCAGGCCTAAAGTTTCTTCTCATGGATCAACGCCTTGACCATCTGTTTTTCTATTACCAGCCATTTCTCAACCAGGTACTCTTGACCAAACTACCAACCTCCCTCTAGAAGTCTACGAACACAAGGAACCCTTCTTCATTTCATCGCCTCAAAATGAGGACCAGCCACGCAGCAAGTCTGTATCCGGCAATGATAGAAATCATGATGCCCACATCTCGTCCCATATGTCCGGTAGAATATCCATACTGATCCAGCACAGCCTGTCCAGCCATCTTGCACTGGTCCGCCAGGTCAGATTTATACATGCACTGACATCCATCACCGCAACTATACACCCGGTGTGCAAACTCATTCACCATCATGCCTTCAAACACATACTTTTGGTAATCCCAATAGTGGAAGACATATTTGTAGAAGACATTGAGAATCGTTGGAGGAACCATGAATCCGCCGACAGACATCCATAAACCGTTTGCGAAGGCCACCAGCGCGAGGGAGATGACAAAGCTGGGAAACAACGCTGTCATGAAGACTACCAGTGACTCGGCTGCGAGCAGATCCAAGAATAACCACATTACCCATGTGAAGAATGCTGTTGCCGTGGGTTGGAAGTTGGATAACCAGTACGAGATGACGGAGAAGAGGATCGATATAAGGAAGAGGTACGGTATGCCGATGAAGAAGTTGGACACGATTAGCTCTGTAGCACCGTACAGTCCGTTGTGATGCTCCTTGACGTACTGGAGTCGATCTTCGATGAATGCAGGGACATATGCTACGGCCATGAAACTCATGAACGCTGAGCCAAAGAAGATGGCGTTGATGAATGGTTGGATAGACTCCTGTTCAGGATCAAGTCTTACCCAGACAGTACCCATCATGATTGCCAGGCCCAGATACATGGCCAAGCGAATACCATAAGCAACCACGTCTCGATAGCTCTTAATGAAGCTTCGATGCAGTAGGGTCAAAGTAAGACTGGGCATGCTAGGTCTCTTCTCGATCGTTTCAACAGTCCAATCATCACCCGAAGACTCCGCAGTCTTGATCGCATTGTGGACTTCAATCGCTTGATGCGAAGTAGCCCACGCAGTCTGTAACGTCCCAAGATTGCGCGAGGCTTCATCCCTATCCTGAGCGAAATCGATATTAACCAACTCAAGAAGATGCTCAGCTGGGTTGACATATTGAGGCAGTGGAGCCCCGACTTGGGCATAATAAGCAGCGACACTGCTCACAGGGCCAAAGTAATGTGTCTTTCCACCCGATAGTAAGAGGAGCTTATCGAAGAGATTAAAGGTCGATGTGGAAGGTTGATGAATAGAGCAGATGACGATAAGATTGTTGCGTCTCGCTACTGTGCGCAAGTACTTGACTACCTCTAGACTGGCAGCAGAGTCGAGACCACTTGTAGGTTCGTCAAGGAAGAGAAGCTTTGGACTGGTAATCAATTGGCTTGCAACGCCTACACGGCGCTTCTGGCCGCCTGATATGCCCTTGCGAATAGGGGTGCCGATGAGAGTATTGGCTTGCTCGACCAGACCGAAAGACTCGAGAAGATTGTTTATACGAAAAACACGCTCTTTCTTGGAAAGAGAACTGCCGAAGGTTAGACAGATCCAGTGACAACCTGGGTTTATAGGACTTACCTTGAACTAGCGAGTCGTGAAGAGAACTCGAGTGTTTCTCGAACAGTCAACGATCCAATAAGAGCATCCTCCTGCTCAACAAAGCACGACACTTCTCGAAACTCAGTGAGAGACAGATGATTCCCGTTGACATAAACCTGAGATTCAACATTGCTTGCGTTTGTTGGACGGCGTGCTAGTACATTAAGCAGTGTCGTCTTGCCACAGCCAGAAGGTCCCATGAGGGCACAGATCTCGCCTGCTTCAACGATGCCTTGAACATTATCAACAATGGCTTTTGGCTGCTTTGTTTCTCGATCTTTGACAGTTACCGTGACGTCGCGCCATGTGAAATTTTTAATTGTAGTGTTGAGAAGGTGTTTCTCTGCAACTGGACGTTGCTCAGAGTCCATGCTATGATTTGTCTCTTTTAGTGTCATGATGAGAGCTGGCTGAGTAGTGAAGCTGTATAAAGAAAATAATACAATAAGCAGAAGTTACAGAAGAATTGAAGTATCAAGCATTTAAGGAATTTGACTTGTGAAGCCTCAGAAATGATTAATACTAGTGTGACACCAAAAGATTACATGCGTCTCAGCCGTCGGTGTCTTGAATATTGCCCGTGTCATCATTCATCCATTGTCCACTCGCACAGCCCGAACGAAGCTGGAATGTTGATCGGCGAATAGACTATTACTCTCTGTAAGACTCAGCCATAATTCTTCGGCGGCACTGCCGTCAGGGTGCCAGAAGATTAAACGCTGAAATCATAAGAGACGGAATAAGTGGACTGTCTTATGCCAGCTTAGAGTAGAGAGCTCAGACTACTTTATTTTGGTAGCCTAAGCCTTACAAGCCATTCCTTCTGTTACCCACCTGACTGCATTCTTCCTATTTACAAGTTGTAACTTGTGTATTAAGGTGGGTGTGATCATGCCAAGACATAGTCCTACTATTCTTCTGATATAGATTACGCTGACATCAAAATTCACATTCAAAGATTCAAGTTATCTAAGTCAACGATGAATTCGCATTCAATATGTCGGAAGTACTCAAGTCCCCGAAATACGAATTTGTGGACTGCGTAATACTCCTGTCATCCCATGTGCATTAGCTGTTAGCTCAGCTCCGGTGTAAGAGCGAAGGAGTACCCGAGCTAATTTAACTTTCGGGCAATTATGTTTCCATTGGTTACCGTTGGATGGGTGTAAGACGCAGGGCTGAGTCTAGAAAAGACCCCGATGGCCCGAACCGGACCAACTAGAGGGTTCACTCTTCCGGCAAGGATTGGGTGCGAAATCCGTATTGAAGATATAGTTGCTTTCTACTGCGATCTAACTCTATGATCAAACTCCCTGCAAGGAAATAGCAAAGTACTGTGTTCTATTTGCTTCAACAAAAAACACTCAAGTCTTCAAAGCGTCAGTCTAAGTGATCACAGATTCAGGAAAATGTTCCCCGTCTGAAAATTGATATAGCTATTTTAGGTGACATGTATATAACCAGCAGTGCAAATTCAACCATTGCCTGACCATCCATATGACCAATTCAGTGCTCGGTGTATAGATCTCATATCCTGAAATTCAAGCCAAAACGCCACGCCGTAAATCAAACTCGTTGTACAAAAGCCTCATTGATGCGTATGTGTGAAGTTCCCATGAGTGACCCCTTCCCTCCAAAGTTCGTCTATTGGCCCATCCTGCCAGATCTATCCTGTATGCTTTCAAACTCGTGCATAATCGAATCGTCCTCGGCAATTCTTTTCATTACCTCTTCATGGCTTGCATCAAACCAAAAGTGAGGCGTCAGCCGGCGCTCCTTCTTTGCTTGGAAGATATCTTGCGCCATACTTTTCACTGAACGTCCTTCCAGGTCTGCGATGCTCCATATGGGGGACATTCTTGTGAGCAAAGTATTGTTGAGTCGAATAAACCGACGCAGGTTATCAGGGTCATTTGAAGCAAAGGGAAGAGCCCATTGAGTGAGATGCACTGTAGAGGACATCCGTACCACATAGTTGAGGAAGTGTGTATGAGAAAGAAGCGAGACACGGTGGGTAAGCAGCTTGCTAATCTCGGCGGCTGAATATATCGTGTATTTGGAATGGGCGTTGAGAGTGGCTGCCGAGTCATGAGAAGTGTTTGGGTCAACTAGCTGACTTAACGACAAGTTCAACTGCGAGTGTGGTTGGTGGAGCAGAATCGACGCGGTATGTGCTATCATATACCCCTGGAACATCATCTCGTCCAGTTGGCCACTCTGATATAGGCCATCCTTCTTCGACTTGGGCAGACTACGGCGCCAATCTGTGAGTAGCGTCTCGATATGGCCAAGGCTCTCGTCAATGGGTCCAATAGCTGGACGATTCCGCAAGAGCTTCCCAAGGATTTGAGCGGCTTTGATGCGATAAGTGAAGGACGAGAACTCACGGTTCAGACCATAGAAGCCACTCGCATCCATATCTTCGAAATACATGGGCTGTGGAATATCCTAAGTACTGCGTTAGTAGATGTGACATAGTGATATGGAGGGGTTAAAATCTACCTCTAGGAGATATTGGTATTCTTCGCAAGGAAGGGCAACGTCAGACGCAAAATCGAAGAGAAGGAAGTTTGTCTTTTTATGAATCCCAGCGATCAAACCATCAATAACAAATAGTTCCCACCATGTTCGTCTCCAACTCTCCTCTATGACCGGCATGCCACGCCCATGTATGCTCGCGAACGATCGTGTATTGAGGCCTATTTCGATCGCGATCTGCTCAACTTCAGACAATATTTCTCGAGACTTTTCTTGCAGGCCCTGCCCATCCAGTCCAATCAACAGAAGCAATAAGGCCTGGACCAGAAATCCGTCTTTGCGACGGTTAGTCCTGTAAACAGATTTATGTGCTTCCTGGAATAGCTGGCCCCGATGTGGGCATGCAGGTATGTACAGTGAGCCTACCCAGCGCATCACGGTGGCTAAGGGCTCGAGAGTTGTTTCGTGCGCCAAACCGATAAATGTTTCCCTTGGGAGAACAAAAGGATGGGCAGCGTGGAAGTAGTTATAGAAATAATCGATACAGCGCTCGGCTAGAGTAGGTGTCGGAACTTGGGTCGGAATAGGCTCATGATGTTGATTAGCGAAGAGGTTGAATAGGTCGTTGGATGAATCTGCGGTGACGTATGGTTGGAAGAATGACATGTCCGTCTCCATACTGCTGCTTGTCGCTAAAGTCGGATCGAGGAATGGCGTTGATAATGGCGAATACCATGCATCGTCACCAATGTGAGGACTGAGAAAGACAGAAGAGCCCAGAGAGGGAGAATCTGTTGTTCCCAGAAAAGGAGAGTGTGTCGATCCAGTCGACGTAGCACCTTCACCGCTTCTACTTGGTGCTCGAGATCTACCAGGAGATGCACTGGGGCGTTTCGTGACTTTTTGGGCGGGATTTCGTCGAGGGCCTTTGTAGCCGCGTCTTGAAGCAACGTAAACGCAGTCGGAACCAGAGCTGACACAGCGAGAACATGGGTTCACTCCATCACATTTCAGGTGTTTGCCTCGCTGAAGAGAAGATAATGTTAGCACTGGCAGAGTCTTGTATTGGCGATGAGGATGAATGGTAACGTACACACGCCAGACAAGCAGCTGAAACGGAAGCAACTCCCAGACGAGCTCCTTCCGTCGCTGCGGATATCGACCCACAGGGAGAGGTCCTTCCGTCGGTGGTAAAGGCAGTAGAACTGGGAGAGTTTGAGTTGGAAGACAACTCTTCCGGGCCTGAGAGCGCATCATCTCTGCTGCTGTTCGAAATCGCCTGTTGAAACGTGTTCGATGAGCTCATGGTAGGTGAGTACCAGCTGTATGGGGACTTTATCGTATCAGAGTATGGATTGTATAGGGGAAGAGAGTGGAGGGATGAAGGGAAAGAGAAACAATCATGAGGCTCAGGTGAAGTATTGCTGTCCATATCAAGAGATAAAGATCTCATGGAAGCCTATGAGTGTGGCTTTATCTTAATAGAAGCCGAGTCCAAGTTTGGGATAAAGGCCGATGAGTTGGACTCTACTCTGAATGCAGGGCGTCAGTGACAGGTCCGGCACTTTGGTAGCGAAAACTGCTGACTGTATCCTAGCTAAATCGATAGCTCAAGATCCGCCCTTTTTATGGTAAGTTTCCAAGTTTAGGCCGGATCGTGGAATATCCTGATGAGATGGAGGCTGAGGTTGTCCAGGTAGTTGGGCGTTGTTGACATTTGCCCACCAGTTGACGTATACCTCGAAATATCTGTTTAGTGATACTGTGTTCAAAGGCTCAAATTCAATACGTAAATGATCGTTTACTAATGATACCTCCATGGAAGAATGTTCTATGACGATCCATATATAATATCCTCTTGGCTTTCCAAAAACGAGGCACGGCAGTCGGCGTATGATACACGCCTGTCCATGCACATGAGCTGCAAGGCAAGGCAATGCAATGCAATGCGCCCCTGGCCAGTGACTTTTCCAAATACATCATTCAGCCGACAAGGGTGTTGTCTTGTGCTATGTGAATGCTCACACCTGGAGATACTAGGTATGGAGTGAGGGGGATAAACATGGGATGGGATAACATGTGGTCTAGCATCTGTTTTAGGAACCCGCATATTATTCAACCAAGCTTCTTACAAGGTTCCGACTTCAGCCCTAGCGGGAGCAAGGATTAACTTCACGTAGAAACTACTTGTTGACTGCTAGACAGGGCCACGAGTCTGCAGCTGCAGCCTGCAAAATGCCGTGCCACCAACATCATTGGCCTTACAAAACGCTGACACAGTATCGGTATCGCCGTAGCTCTAAACATTTGGCAGGGGTTCATACAGAGAACACCACCGACTACCATTCGCAGTGAAACTCTTATGTTGGCCAATGGGCTCTCACAAAATGGCGGATATGAGACTCTTGTCTCTTGTTGCCTCAACTGCCACTGGCGGTAAATGTCCAGCCGGTGCATGAGTAGTCTAGCCTTGTGAGGCCATACCACGTTTATTCATCCGCCTGCGGCCTAGTCTAGTAGTAACTTGAACTCCGTCATAAGGAGCACACTTCCCCATTTTGATACTGGTGATAGACGCACGCACAGACAGATTGGGGCCAGTTGCTGTGCGGGCGTTGCAACGCCAGAACAAGTTCATATCTGGTCTGGATGCGGGCGTTTTAAGGTAGAGTATAGTCTTCAAAGGACCGAAGAAGCATAAAACCTACCCCGCCAAGTCTGATGATACCTTGCTCTGTGGTATGAAGAGATATTGCTTCATGGTTTCTTCAACACTGTCAAGTCCGGTAAAGCCAGCTCTGGCTCGGACATAAGGTCAAAGCTGCGTCAAGATGTATTTCTTTCTCTTCTATCCCATGCTTCTCTTGCAGATGCTTGCTTGTTTGAGTTGTAAGCCCTCCATCTGCCTTTGTCTTGACTCTACTCTGCCGCACATCCGTCTCGTGGGGTCTTGGCGAACGGGGAACTCTGAGTTTACCGACTACTAGCTTCTACTTCAAAACTCGCTGTTCCAAATTTGACAAGCATTGGGTCTTGAATATCTCCTGAGGATAGCGTTGCGTGAGCATCCTATCCCATCCCTGGACCGACTAGACCCGCGGTACCTCTCAGATCGTGGTGTGTGCGTAGCCCGGCACTCGAAGACCCAGGCAACACTGCCACGCTAACTTATACAAATCCATGTCTTTAGTGTACCGAGATGCTGGGGAGCTGTCAGCTCCGACTATTTCCTGGCTTTTCGGGGTCTTAGCGCTGAAAGTGACACCCTGGAAGTACCCAACGGTCGGCCGCTTGTTCGAGATCAACAGGATACGTACCGATGGCTGAAGTTGATGACAGAGTCAAAGCTCTTTGCCAAGCAGTTTCTTTGCTCTTTGACTGGTTCCAACAAGCCACTGCGTGTCTCTCTCGTGGGTGAACCGTTATGAAGACTTGCATACGAGTATATGGATCCGGCAAAGCAATACCGCACAACTCAAATTGAATCACTTTTTCATCACGGAATGACTCGTTTGAGCCAATCCTTGAATTTCAAATACTCGAATATAGTAATTGCGGCCCGCAGCTCGTGTGGCAGGTCGGATGCACGACAGTTTGCGGGCAGCGTACCCGGGCTTCTGGAATGGCTTACTGAGAGAGTGGGCTGATTATTTGCTCGAGATGATGAGTAAGGATTACAGCGTTGTATTTAGAAACTCAGTCCACGTCGGATTATCAAGAGAATCTCGGAGGAATGACGCACTAGGACAGTATCCTCATTTGATTAAGGAAGGTCGATATATCTCTCGTGGTGTTAAAGATGTCAGTCCAGTTGCTGACGAATCAAAATAGACCCAAGAATTGGAACCCAACATTAAAGTCCCGTAACATCCCTGCCTACCATCATAACCTAAAATGGTTAGCGTTGCGCAACAATTGGGGACGATAATGGTGATGTTTCTTTGTATGCGTATCCGTCGTCCTTGCCCTTTGATGAACAGCTCAATCTTTAGATTGGAAACTTGGACTATTTGCTCCGTTGCAAATCTAGAATACCACCTCCTTGCTTAAATGAGTCATAAATTATTTCAATTTGGCGGTCCGATTTGTAATTCCCGCTGTCAAGTTCTAGGCAACGGCCAGAGGTGAATACGAAAATCGACTTGGCACCGCCACAAGCACTAACGCCAGTAACTGTACTGTAACTGTAACTACCTAAGACTATCCGTTTATATGCGTCTTATGCCCATCATCTTCATCTTCACCCCCAAAACAATGACGACAATAAAGAGAGTTCAAATAATCCCCGAAGCAATTTCTCGGTGACCCTCGGCATTAATACGTACTCTTCAAGTGCCGTACGCTCGTAGAAGCCCGCTTAGTCGAGAGGTTGAATTTGTGCCAGAACCAAGATCGGCCAGATAAACGATTGATGCTGCTGCTTACCATGCATAATTAGTTTCATTGGATAACTACAATTGCCAGCCAGTCGGGTTCTTTTTACGGCATTCATCAGTACAGTACAGTAGGAGTTTCTTGTTACAGTACTTCCGTACCACGATTATCATCCTTCGGTTCTGCGTCTTGTCTGTCTTTATCAGGGCACCAATCATGACCTAAATATGACCTCTCCTTACAGGGCAAACACCCCCGCATTAGTAGCCTAGATCACTTTAGCCATCTGTGCTGTATTTGCATTTACAGGCTGTACAATACCGTGTCGTTCAAACCCCCCACCTGCAAGTGACAATCACGGGCTCTATTCTAGACCTTCCGTCCCGTCTGATCGCAGCGGTGTTCCCTCCGCCGCCTTGCGCCCTGTTCAGCTGCACAGCCTCCCGCTTCGTCTTTGTTCCGGTAGAAGTCAAGGCCGTGCCAGCCTGAACATAAGCTAAAGTCTGGGAGTAAGTCCCGGGACGTAATGGATCCTGTGTCTCTTGCCGGCTTGGCGCTTGGGGTCGCTTCCATCAGCTTGCAAGTCTATACAGGATGCATTCAAGGTACTTTAGTGATTTTCAGCCCGTTGGATCATACTCAGCGTTGACCTTCCCCTAGGGATACAGCTTCTAGTCACGGCTTTAGGCTACGAGGATGACTGCAAGTATCTCAATCTGCGCCTCAGGATGGAGCAGCAGCGTCTATTCTGTTGGAGTGAGGCCTCTGGGCTGCTTGATCTTGATGCTAAGAATCAGGAAAAGGTCTTGAACTCAAACGTGTTCAATCTTCATCGTCAGACGGTGATTGATCTGCTTGTTCAAATTCAGTGCCTGTTTAACGACTTCACTGAGTATCAGAAAAAGCATCATAATCTCTCTACTGTCGTGGACAAGGACGGTGCTTTGGAGTCCCCGGAGGAGGATGCTAAACTATCAAACTATCCTATGACGGCAAAGAAACGGAACTTTATTAAGAAAGCCATGAATGATCTCAAGACCAAGTCCTCTGATAATCTTACTAGGTTAAAATGGTCTTCGTTTGACAAGCAGGGATTTGAGAAGCTGTTGGCCAAGTTCTCAGTTCTTAATGACAACATGACTAACATCCTTGACCACTCGTTGCAAGTCGAGATTCGCAATACTGTCCAGGATACAAATCGGGGGGTCCTACTACTCCATCACAAGATAGCTGATCTGAGTCATCTTGTGTTGGCACTCAAGTCCCAGCTTGACACGGGCTCTTCAGGAGGACCATCGCAAATGTCCAAGCTGGAGAGGGAGGCCAACGCTGACGCCCTGAGGCAGTTGTCGAGACTTGCCAAGTTTAAGGCGTTCAATGAAACCGTAGACCCCAAGTCAGATGGACCAACAGTTGTCGATGAAGCTGCTGCCAAGTTCCTAGATCTTGCAAAGCCCGGTCATCAACGGAACCTGTTCATCCCGCGATACCTTATGGAGCTGGACCCTGAGGTCGATGATACTGAAGCCCCACGGTGCGAAGCATTTATGAAATCGGCTGAAGGTAAGAAGAAAGTCTGGATCGAATGGAAGGACTATGACAACGCAGATACACAACCAGGTTCTCTTTCGAAAGCCGATATAATCGAGCGAGTTCGCAAATTGGCTGCTCTGCTCAATCACAGTCCAAAACCGGAAGCGTTTCGCACTCCCCACTGTCTTGGTTTCTTCGACAAAGCCGACCCAAACATATCTGAGGACGACGTCGACATTCTTGATCGTCGACTTGGTCTCATATTCGAACGCCCATCAGGCGATAACTTACATGTGTCGCTGCCGCCTGTCTCGCTTCGTGAACTTCTGCGGGATTCCAAAGTTCGCAAACCTCGAGTTACAGAACGAATTCACCTCGCACACGCTATCAGCAACTGCCTTCTCTACCTCCATGCCGTCGGTTGGCTACACAAAGGTCTTCGCAGCCATAACGTGTTATTCTTCCGAACACGCGATGGCCATGTGGATTATCGGCAGCCATTTCTATCGGGTTTTGACTTTTCCCGTCCGGGCGGCTCAGACGAGATGACAGACGCACCGGGAGATGATGCAGAGCACGATCTTTACAGGCACCCAAACGCCCAGTCGAACCGCCGACGAGACAGAGAGCGCTCAAAGAAGAGCTTCGATATTTACAGCCTCGGCGTAATTCTGGTTGAATTGGCACACTGGCAACCTGTTGAAGATATTTTGAGAATCGATATGCGACGTGCGCGTGGACGACCAGATGTGGTGCGCGGAATTCGAGAAGCTCTGCTGAGAGAGGATAGAGTTGCAGCTGTGGGGGCTGATATGGGAGAGAGATTTGAAGATGCCACGAGGAAATGCCTGGCTGGTGGTGAGGAACTGGGTCTTAGAGAAGGAGATGACGAGACGCAAGATGAAGTTGCTGAAAGGTTGTCCATGAAGTTCTTCAAGGATGTGGTAAAACGACTCGAGGAAGTGGTTGTCTAGAAAGTGATAGCTCAACTTAAAAGAATAGACGCGTTTATGGGTGAACGAGATGTAAAACGTCGGAAGCATGTTGTATAGTAATTTTTATACATGATGGAAATAGAAAGTTCTTTATATCATTAGGTTGCTAATGATAGTCTCCCATCAATAGGTCCTCCCAGACTTATGCCTGAACGCCAGAGCTATACTCTATCCCTTTCCAATATTTGATCATAAACTCAATTAACAGCAGCAGTCGAGGCACTCGAAACAGCACAGGCCGGCACAGATACCACAGCAGATGGCCTATTATCATTGTTAGCGATTTGTTAGTAGAGAGTTGAGGATTTGGTCGTGCTTACACCTCCGTCGTTCTTGCCTCCTCGCATGCCCATTTGAGGCTGTTCCATTGACATTGGTTGAACCGGGCGCTATTAAAGATAGTCAGTAAATTCCTGGATCGATTGTCTTTGGTTCCAATGCTTTTGTTGACCAAAAGTGCAGTTGTTGAAGAAATCCGGAGGTCCCGGAGGTTGAAGGTTTCACATACCGGTTGTTCGGTGCTGGTTCGTTCGGCAGGGAAAGCTGCGGGAGCCGGCTCACGGGGCATTTGCATCTGGGAGGTAGTTGAAGCAGGCATCTTGAAATTGTGTTGTAGAAAGTATAGACTCGGTTTGGTTTATATGTCTAAGAGTAGAGAGTGTGTTTGAATGAAGGTGAGGAAACAAAAATCAGGCTTGAACAAAGAGCGCAACGTCGTTGTTATAAACTCTCGAGGTACATGCATAAGTGCAAAAGTTACAGTAACAAGCGCCAGGTTCCGGTAGAGGTCTGTGGTCAAGTACCAGCCCAGCGGGTCGCTTGAACTGGCTACTAGGTAGCCTCATTGAAAACAATCACTATGTACTCGCTAGGTAAATCCATGATTCTCTTCGGCACATGAACGCGTCTCCAAAGACTAACAGTCAGTAGACCAGGTATCCCCAGCGTCGTGACCTCAGACAAGGGTCAGCTGGAAGCCACATGGGATACATAATTCGACTCAATACCAGTACATCAGAGAAAGGACAGAGCTGTAGGATCGGTCTTCTGCAGGGTAGCAGTAGTTTGGATAATTCGGCAACTATCGACATCATCGTTTTCACATCATGACTTGAGATGTACCACTTTGGAGCATCATGGAAGTGTATGTAAGTCAAGTACCGCCAAAGTCTTTCCACATTTCTTTACCGTTTGTGGCTGCTGATAGGGAGAAACTCTCCTTTAGCACGGACGGGACGCCCGATCCGATGCCGCGAGCTAAAAAGCGAAACCGAAAAGAAATAGAGAGAAAACGTTTCATGTAGAGAACAATTCTTAGGGAAATAATGACGTAGTTTTTAACGAACCATTGGAGTGGTTGCAGGTTGACCCCTGTTTGCTCACGAACCAGCGGGATGGCTTCTGGCTTGTGAAATGAGTGAGAACCTAACCACAGCCTCAATTTAATCTAGGTACTGTAATGTTACAGTACACATCTTCTAGAAACTCACTATGACTATTATTTTGCGCTTATACCGATATCCTTTGCATTGGATGATCTACAGCTCCAAGAATAGACATCGGTTAGACCGAACCGTTGACAGATGACGGCTGAGCTTTGATGTTCAACGGGTATAAGTCCACATACGTAAGTTCAGATGAGCCACTTCAAAAA